TTTACAAAGAAAAGGATGGAAGACTTAAAAACAAAACAAAATAAAAAACAAACAGCAAAAATGTCCAGAGCTCACTATTCTTATAAGAACACTGGCTCATTTCAAAAAGCTATGCTTTCAGAAGGCCACTATTAGTGTATTTCCAAGATTCCGGTTTTAAGATTTCTCTACGTACGAGCAGAGCATGCTCAACCCAGCCCACTCAGTTACCATGCTGCTTATCTGAGAAATATCTCTAAGCAATCTGGGAGATTAACAAAAAATTGCAAAAAATTAAGTACATTGCAAGTCACCGACAAAAATAAACCCTCCAAACACACCTGTGAACGCTGAAACTCATGCTGAATTTGTTCCTATGGGAAGCATTCAAGTGTCACAAACACATTTACAGTTAAGATGGAACGAGGATGGTTTTCCCTTCAGAAAAAAAAATGGCTGAAGCCTGCTACAGGTGATTATAAAGATCAAAGGACTATTCAGGAAGGACACAAAAGTAATCAATTTCAGTTTTAATTCTTTTTCCTAGTTGTTAAATGGTTTATTTAAAAAAACCAGCCAGACATTTATTTGAAAACATGTAAGCAACAGAACTGAAAGATCTCCAAAGCAGTAATTCAAAACTTAACCCTTGAAACACTTCTGATGGTAAATATTCTCCACACCTGTACTGCTTCTTTGCCCCAGCACATCCATCTGTATTGGATCTTAACCTAGAAATTCCCTTACCCTGATTTTTATGTCTGTTTGCAAAGATGTTGAAAACTGCACTGCATGAAGAATGAAGACAAACAGAAGAGACTAATCTTTTATAACTCAAAGCAACTGTGGCTGTTAAAAGAATGATCAAAGTATTAAGAGGCAGATCTAGCATCAAGTATTTATTATTGCCTTTAAAAATCTCACTAACTTTTCAGTTGGTTAGACTGTCAGTTGACTCACCACAACTGCAGTGTTACGCTGTACCTCTTTAGCCAAACCTTAAATTAAATTGCTTTAAGCAATATATCCCCTCAAGTATTTCTAAAATTAAGCTACTATGAGAGGCAAAAAAAAAAAAAAAAAACAAAATCACCTTAAGACTCAATAGATCCAATTTGTCTCCGAGAAGTGATTACATAAAAATGTCACATTATTCATAAAATCTTGAAGACCGCACTACAGACTTGAGGAAGGCCAACAGATATTTAAAACAGACAGTGCAGGATGACTCATCCACTACCAATTAAACTAAACAGTATTTCCAATATTATGCAGTTCTAATTTCCAATTAGAACTGCATAATAATCAGGCAGAGAACCATGGAAAAATACCTCAAAAAGGTCTAAACAAAACTCAAATATAAGCAAGCAGACAAATGCAAGTTCTAAAAATCTTAAAACCAGAAGTAGACAGGTGAGCTGAAATGTCTAATTTTACAAACAATAGGAACCTCACAAAAATCAGTAAAAAGACAGCAAGGGATCAACGCAGCATCTGATCAAAACAGGGTTAAGAGGGAGTTGTACAGGTGTATTATAGAAACCTTTGAGTCAAATAACCTATGAATGACAATCACTTTTGTAGTAACCTGATAACCTGTCCCAAATCATCAGAGCATTAGGGCTATATTGCCAATATGAAGGCGATATTACAAAGACTTTCAAAGAAGAAACCAGCAGTTATGAAAGATCCGGTAACTTTGCAGGTTGGATTAAGTGTTAAGAAGGGAAGCGATTCAGTGGTTAATTCTTTAGCTATAGTAAGTAACTGCTTCTGGGAGCAACTGGCCACAGCAGTCACAAAAGGAAAAGCATCTCCCGATTTAGTCCATTGTACCTATTCTGAAGAGGTAGCTGCTGGAGAACATTCTACAATAGGAGTATCAACACACTTAAATTCAACATTCTTGTAAATGGAAAAAAAAACAAAAACAAAAAAAAAAAACAATAAAAAACAAAACAAACACAAACAAACAAAACCCAGCCCTACAGCCAGGAAAAAAAAAAATTCACCACTAATTTCAGCAAGGGGAGCTACATAACAATGAAGATGCTATCCAAGATAATTAAAAGCAGCATCTAAAAGGGCAGACTGCCACCATCATGAAAACTTTTAAAGATACTAAGAAAGAACACTACATCACTCAAGACCTAAGGAAAAAAAAAAAAGAAAAATTAAAAAAAACCCGGAGCAGTTCTATAATGCAAAAAAATGCTTTTTGAACTAAAAATCAAGCTCTGGAATCAGAAAATGGGTCCAAAAGGAAAACCAGAAAATACTCCATAAATATAGTTATTATTATTGCCACCTACACAGAATTTTGAGGAGTATCTTGCTCAAAGACAGAGGAAACCTGACAGGAACTTGATAAGGACAATAGATTATTTTCTTTTTGCTGTGGCCTGATCTTCCTACTGTTTTCCTTTTGCACCTTAAACTATCTTGTTTACTACAGAGAACACTGGGAAAGCTCACACACAGAAGTTTTTCCTCTGTGGAGAAGAGATCTTGAGGAGCTGTCTCAGACTGAAGCAACTCCTGATACTTTGTGATGCTCACTCTTTGCTACCATGCACCCAGGAATTCTAAAGGAATTCAGACATTTAAAAAAGTCTGACACTACATGGTATGCAACTACAGTTGAAGTCGATTTTGTTTTTAAATATTCTAGGAGGATTCAAGAGACTGCAGATAAATCTGCACCAACCAGAGAGTGAAAATTTAAAAAGATTATCAGGCACATTAGCAATTCCAGTATCATAACCAAAAACTGAAATCAGCATTTCTCAAGGGGTATCTTGCTTCCCTGATCAGAATTCTCTAAATGAACATAAGGAATGATCTGCCTGAGAGAAAGTATCCTGGTTTCATAACTTTTAAGAAGTACTTCAAAAAGTCAAAAAAACAACAATAAAAACAAAAAAACACAAGCAAACAGAACACAAACAAAAAAAAACACGGCCACACTACCACATACACATTAAACAAAAAAACCCTCCCAGCCAACCTACAAACAAACAAAAAACCCTGAGCTGTTCTGGGATAAATCACACCCTGAGTAACAAGTGATGTTTCCCCATCTACTTACTCTCACTGTTAATTGTACAAAACCGTAAACATTACCATTGGATGATTTCTGTCCATGCTATCAAGATAGTCCCTGCAATGCTGCACAAACAGAAGAAATAAAGACTTGCTATTCTGCCCATCACATTCATCATGTTGTCGAGGTAAATGCATACTGCAGTCCAAGGCCAAAATTGATCTAATTTCTTGTCTTCCTCCCCATGTTATTTTCTGCTTAAAACTATTAACTCATCTTACCATTCCTACACGGATACCACAATAAAACATTCAACTCTTCCCCTAATATCTTTCCAAGTTCCCCTTTGAAGACATGTAAAGTTATGAATGCCATGACTGAACTGCTGAAGGAAAAGCTATCCAGATTCCTACAGTACAAACATTTCCAGTGATTAAAACATTAAAAGCTTTTATCAACAGTTCAGCACTCAGTTTGCTACATATCTCAGACTCAAAGAAGCAACACCCACTCTGCATGCAGAAGGGTATACGCGCCACATACCTAGTAATTACCCCATAAAACATAAACGAAATTATTCTACCACTAATGCTGTGAGACCAGGTTGCAAAAATGAGTACTGTTAAAACTGAGACAAATGAGAACTGGGACCTCATTCACTTGTAGACATTATTTTCCTGTGACAGTACTTAAGTGAAGGCAAAAGGATACAATTTGACAACAACCTCAGGAAATCAGACATCTGCAATCTTTTCGAAATTGACATGAGAAATCTAGTGCCAAGTATCACTGCAATAAAAACATCCGAACTGTCCAAAGAAAACAAGCTGTCAGATGTGTTTGCAACCATGTTCTGGATGGCACATAACGAAGTGTGGCTAAAGACATGGATTAAAGGAGCATGAAGGGGCAAAAATACACTGAAAAGTCTCCTCATGGTAACACTCCCTCTTTTTGTTCATTTTAAGTGTTTTCTCTCCCTGCTTCTCTGGTGTTTTCCATGGCTTAGCAACCTTTGGATTTAAAAGGTACGTATGTTGCTACTTCAGTCAGTAACTCCCCACTTCCGTTTCAAACCCTTGGACACTTTCATGCAGCCTTTCTAACTGTAGGGCTGGTGCCAGCTTTGCTCAAAAAGTAACCAATTACTTAATATCTTTTAAATGTCTAAAGCAATTTTTTTGAGATACATTTTAGGCTTACTGTAATGAGGTAAGAACAAACTCTTCTGTCAACAGCCCACCTTTACAAAAGCCTACCTTTATATAGAACACTGTCATGCTTTAGAGCCCAGCCAGTTACTCAGAACCATGCAGCTACTCCCTCACTCCCCCCTCTTTTTCCTCCCCAGGCTCTCAACCCGATGGACAGTGAATTGAGAGAACGTATCTCCCACGGGCTGAGATAAGAACAGCCTTGTAACATAACACAAAACCACTACTGCTACCACCAATAATAATGATAAGGGAAATAGCAAGGGGAGAGAACTAAAAAGGGAAAAAAAAAACAAAAAAACCCACAAAACCCAACAGTAAACACAAGTGATGCACAATGCAACTGCTCACCACCTGCTGACCATACCCAGCCTGCCCCAAGCAGTGATCTGGGCCTTGCTGTGGTATGGAATAGTCCTTTGGCTAGTTTGGGTCAGGAGTCCTGTCTCTGCTTCTTCCCAGCTTCTTGCGCCCCCCCTCACTGGCAGAGCATGAGAGACTGAAAGTCCTTGATCGGGATAAGCATTTGTTAGCAACAACTGAAAACATCGGAGTGCTATCAGCATTGTTCTAAGACTAAAGCCAAAACCACAGCACTGCACCAGCTACTAAGAAGGAGAAAAATAACTGTTACAGCTGAACCCAGGACAAACAGTAAGCATAATCTCCCCAGTCACCTACAGTTACCAAGCTAGAGATACAGGAAAGAGAAAATGTGATTTGTCACCTGGATCATAAAAACAGCTTGGTATCCAGAGCATTACCTTGCCTGTGCTTTGCAAGATTGTAGTTCTTGTCCTCCATACTCTCTCCCTGCTGACAATATCTCTGGTTACATCCACTTCAGCATCAACAAAACTTCTCTGTTTAAGAGCAGTTATGTCATCATCCAGATCAGTTTTGATAGTGGATCTTTTCTTTGCCATGATTTTTGCTTTGATAGCAGCAATTTTTTCCACTGACATGGCTTCAGACAAGGACCTAAATGAGCAAAAATAAAAGGAGAGACTGAAAAACTGTACAAACAATTCTACTGAATGAATTGTGAATGAGTAACTTCATTCTGCATAAAGTTTGCGGCCATGCTATAAATTACACAACAGACACCTTACATATATTTGAAGATTACATAAGCTTGGCATTGCTGGTTTGGGCATGAGAATAAAACTTCAGACAAAATACGCCATCTTAGTTTTAGCATTAAAACCATCCAAAACCTCTAACTATTAACAAGCAGAAGACTGCAAATGTCAAACATCAGGACTAGCACTACTATTTACATCATCTGAATTTCAGCTCCCCCTTAGTTTTAGTGGATTACAATTTTGTGTCCAGTCAATAAATTCCTGGCTATGCCAAGGCTTTCAAAACATGAACCAAAATTTCGGCTGAGGTGCTATTACATGGACTTCACCACTTGGGAGTCATGGTACCTTTTCAGAGCATGTAGGCCAAACAAACAACAGATGGTAGTAACTTTGCCAACACTAATCTGTGTTTGAGGTAGCTCAATTCAGTCCAAGAGTGCAACATTTTTACCTATTTGCTTTTAATTGTAAACACAGAATCTGCTTACCAAACACTGAGCTGAAGGAAAAAAAAACAACTGAACTACAGAATCCTGACTGCACAGAACCAGTTCACTTCTATGCGATTTTTTTTTTCTGAAATTACACTGAAAAATTAATACAATCCTGGTTGTGTTCTCCTTTTACAACTAAGCTATTGGAAAGGGAACTTTTTTTGTGTTGCTGTTAAAAGTAGCAACAGTGACAAGCACAGATTTCAAGCTCTGCTGCCTGTAAGGCTATTTTGCCTTTTTTCCTTTTTTTCTCTTTTTTTTTCCTCTTTTTGTTTTCAAGGGCAGTCTTTTACATTCAGTGTTGAAAAAAAAAATTTAAAAAAGCATACATTTCTCAAGAACACAGTTGATCCATCAAGTCAAACTACTTACCTGCAAAGCCCAATACGGACAAAACAGTACATTAGTTCACACTCACACATAATTTCCATTTCACGTTATGTGAGCTAACACCCTAAATAAATTAAGCAGCTACCTTTACCTTAAGACTCCTGAACTCAAATATTTGAGAACAAACTACTAAGAGTCTGGTATCCTATTAAGCCAAGATCCTTAGCATCAACAAGTTCATGAAAGAATTCCCTCCCTGCTTGGTTTTGGGAAGATACGGTATAAGACTCAAAACTAGTTGTCATGCTTTGCAAAATTCTGGATGGCTACAACCAAAGTGGAAAGGGGATAGGCAAGTTTTCAAGCACTTGAATACTTATTACAATTTATGGCAATGACAGTACACTACCCTCTGCTAGCCTACTAGAGGCATGAAGATCACCTCTGTAGGGAGTCAGAGGCTTGTGTTACCCTTACAATGTTTCCCATCTTTTGCATACAAGACATTCCTCAATACAGGATATTTTTCTTTAGAAGAGAGATAATCAGCTTCCACTTGCAGTTCTGCATGTTACATCTGACTGATTTGACAAACACTGTGGCAGAAGAATGCAGAAATGACAGACAACTGTCTACTCTCTTCTGAAGACAAACCAAATTTCACGCCGTAACACCTGAACTTCCACTAAACAAGAGTCTGAATAGGCAAGAAGTTCTGCCTCCTCAGGACATTGCTAATGATCGCACCTAAGGGAGGAAAACTACTGCTGAGAACTGCTGGACAGGAGTAAAACTGTAGCCTTGAACAGCACAAGAAGTGTTATCAGTCCTTTAATTAAGCATTATCCATAAGAAAAATTATTCCTACCTGATCTGCTCCGTTTGCACGATACCTTCTTTATGTCCTTCCAATCGAGCTGCCAACCGTTCCTTGTCAAGGCGTACACACTCTTCATCCTAGCAGTAACAGTAATGTTTAATTTTTTGTGCATTCTCTTCAGAAACAAATAAGCACTCTTAATATAGATACAGCCAGATTTATAGTAGCTCAGAGGAGACACCTGGATGAGCATAGTTTAAAAACAATTACTCAGAAAACAGCAAGCTAGGCTTTAAAATCAGAGCTAAGAAATACAGTCTGTCCAATAACTGGACATATTACTTATATTCAAGAGGCACTTGTGAAAATACAGTGTTCAATTATTTACCTAAGACACAGCTTCACACAAGAGTAATCACAGGGACAGTTTCATATACTGCTCACATATGAAAGACCTCAGCAGGTAAAACAAGAATCCATCACTAGAGGTAAGACTGGCATTTAGTTAAAATGCCAACTCACGGATGGCAAATAACTGTAATAAGTTATTAAAGAGCACTTTCATTCCCATCCCATAACTCTTAGACAGGTTACAACAACAGGTACTTACACATACGTGGTCAAGCTTTCCCCTTTCATACTACAACATACATCTAGCAACTAAAATTCCAAGTTTCAATCAGAGGCTTAATTGCAACCTCTTTCCAGTTCATGTTCACACTAACAGAAGTCCTGTGTGCATACAGAGGACAGGTAGCCCAACTAAACTGCTACAAAAAACAGATACTGTTACTTATCACCACCCACAATGTGCAGCAATGATAGTTATTCTCATTACCTCTATTCTTGGTTTCTTTGCTTCAGCTAGTATTTCATCTGCTGCTCTTTTAACTAAAAGAAAAAGAGGACATTAAGAACACAAGATTGTAGTAGACTCATAAAATAACCATCAAAGTTATTTTTTAGTTAAACTGTACCTTGAGTGGAGCGCTGTAGACCAATTTCAAGCGGAGCACTTCTGTCTATGCTTGATGAGGTTGCTGTAATCAAACAGAACATTTCATTTAAGATTTGCAAAAGTATTTCAGTATAAAAGGAAGAAGATAAATTACGACAAGAAAATTCTAACTACATATTAGGTAGCAAAGGTGGTCAAACACTGGCACTGGAGATATTCAGAACCTGAATGAATATGAAGTTAGAAAGTTGGCCTTCCTCTGAAAAGGGGGTTGAATCAGATGACCTACTGCGGTCCCTTCCAACATGAATCAGTCAGTGATTCTGAGCTGTATATACCACATAAAAGAAAGCAAAGTCACAAAGGTAATTACTTTATAACCTGGGATCAAGATCTACTAGTTTGTCCAGTTTTGGGAATAAAGACAACGTTAGTCTCTTTAAAATATATTTATATAAAAAATGGTTCACTGCTTCTATTACAGAAATAATCTCACATTCCACTATACCTGAAATTGTAAGACCACCTGCAAAACAGAGCAACTTAAAGCCATATTTATCTTTCTCTCATCACAGAAACCTCTCTTCTGACTCCTGTTAACAAAAAAGATGATAGTAGACAAATCTGCCACACTGACAAAGCAGTGACTTGACATATTTCACTGTACTGATCATTTTATCCCACACCCTTACTGCATCATGATCAATGCACTACCAAAATTTTCCCAGTCTAGAGACAGAAAAAATACAAACAGTAAGCATTATAACATACAGCTATCTACCAAAGGATGTAGTAATGTGGCTCCTTTCTAAGCACCATAAAAATAATTATTTTTAACACTGTTCTGAACATAAAAGAAATCCTAATTTCATTTGACGAACATATTCAGCTAACCTGCTAACTGATCATCGTTAACCATCCTTCCCATCCTATGCTTCCTTGCGTCATAAATCGGAAGCAGTAGCACACACCATGTGTATAAGTTAAAAGAAAGTATCACTCACATGTTTCACCATTTAGGTATGCAAGCAGGTCTTTCCTATCGGGTCTTCTTACCACAGGAATGTTTTCAGTCTGAAAAAATAGCAGACTTGACATTAAACTGTTACTCCCTCAGAAAGCCTCTTGCTGACATTTTTTCACTTTTAGTGAAAATTATTCATGCTCACAGAGACAGGAATATCTGTCCTGCCTCCCAAAAAGATCAAGCTTAAAAATACAATTACTTCCTAGAGGATGTTCCACTACACAATATGAAACATGTTGTCTGCTATAAAACCAAAAGGATAGCCTTTTTCCTCCTTCACGTCAAATCTGCAAGTAAGATTAAGAACTAACTTTTCACACACACACTTCTTTGCCAGGAGTCAATGCTGGCACACATAAATCATGTATTTCAATTTTGTCTTTCTGAGTACGGATAACATGCAGCACTGCTGTATCAGGTAACCATGTGATATAGGGGAAGATGAAAAATGGGCTCATAGAAATCAATTGGAAATCAAACGGACTTTCTCTTTCTCAGTTGCCCTATCATTATTTGTAGAGTTTATTCAATAATTTCTTGAATTAGATTGCATACTTCCAAGTCCACTCCAATGCTATTCTACTGAACTTTTCTCCGTTTTGTAGATCCTTGCAGTCCTGGGCACTAAAGGATCATCTAAATTGGGATTGCACAACAGAGTGCAGACTGACAAAAGTACTTTAGAAATAATTAGTGCTAGAGACAGCTGGGACCATAGAATACAAAGAGAAATGCTCTCATTACTGTTAATACTTGTGTGATGGACTCTTGTTTTAAATTCAACCTGGTGGATTGAAGGGATAATCTGTTAGGGAATGTATTATCAAGAAAAATATTCTACAAGTATTGTGACTTGATCACTTTGTTGCATATATTTTTCCCTTTCCCTAGCCAAATTCATACACTTAAATGCTACTCTGATTTACTTACCGCAGCACGGCGGACATAAACAGGATGCGAAAGGTGCACGTTATTAAGCAGGAACAAGATAGAATCCAAAGTGTAGTATTCCCTGGGTTGTCCCTCTTTCCCAGTCCTGTAAAATCATGAAACAAAGATTTTAAAACATTTAACCTCTCCATCTCTCTCTTACACAATTTTTGTAGCAAAGTTCTCAATTCTTTTCAGATGAAAGTTCAAAAAGCAAGCAGTAAGATTATTACCAGGCTATTGCCAAACTAGTGAACCATCAATTGTGTTAATTAAGAGCAAAAGATATATGTTCTGGCAGCCTTGTTACTGAATGAATTATAAAAACTGTCCAAAATAATCCAAAGTAAGAGCTGGATGGCTTATAAAATATACATGAAGCAAGATTTCAGAAAGTGTAAGAACACATGCTCCCACATCTCAAACATACTTATTCTGATTATCAAAGGAACTATCTACCTTATTTGGGACAGGTAGAGGAACGTAACTGAACTGCAAATGGAAAAAATAATCAAATAAAAAATCATATTACATGCTTTTCAGGTATAATGGGACAGAATTTTCACCACTAGAGAAAACACAATGAAGAACTCTGAACATAATGAAGCTCCATGAAGTGTAGAGAACAAAAGGTTTGAAATGGTGCCAGAAGGTCGAAACAAGGAGTAGGCAGAAACTAATTGCACACAAGACCACCAAAAGTGAAACAGACTACAAAATCACAACAAACTCCCATAATGAAGTCAGATAACTTCAGAGCAACATAACATCAAGTTCATTCTCAGTTTCAAAACAGCTTGTTTAAAAGATGCCTTTTAAATATAAGAAGGAATCAGTTCTGTGCAGCAATTTGAAAAGCAGAACAAAACCAACCAAAAAAAATCCCACAAAACAAGGCTAAACAAAAACTGTAGTTTCAGCTTGGCTGCATGTGTGTCAAATGCAATTCCCCCCTCATATACACACTCACCACTTTATGCTATTATTACAAGATGTCGTAGCAGAAGCAATGCTTGTCCCCATTTCAGAAAAAAGCCTGCTCCCTAAATATTTTAACTCTCTGATCAGTTAAAATATTCCATCATATTCACAGCCCCCAGTGGGCCCAGCAATTCCACTGCCCAGACTGGAGACCTGTCAGATCCCAGCTCCGAGCAGGACAGGGGTTCCTCTGTGCGGCCCAGCAGCCATCTCCAACTAGCCAGAGCAGACAGCTCACCCCAAAGCCTGAGGAAGTCAACCCACCAGAAAAACAGGACACTGTACAATTTAAGACTGGCACTGAAATTCTACCAAACCAGAGATTTCAGGAAGAAACACTTTCATTAAAAGTGTAAGAAAGAGTGTTTCCATCCAAGTACAGTAGCTTTACTCATAGCTCACGATCAGCATCAAAACATGCAACACAGAAATGCCAACCTCACAGGCAAAAGGAAGAGGAAATTAGAAAAACTCAAACATAACTTCCTTGCATCTGAAAGAGTTACACAAACATATACCAAATGCAACAGAAGTGCAAGTCTCTCATCCCCATATTGTGGATATAACGCCACTACTGCTTTCCTTCCAATTACTTTTCTGAAATTATCTAGAATGGAAATGTCCAATAACCTGTTCAGAACTTATTACCGGCATAAGACTGAAAACTCTACTTTCATAATGATGCCTGAGAAAAACAAAACGAATAACATGCAATAAGAAGTGATTCCAAATATAAGGAGAATGCTAGAGTAAGGTATCTCTCCATCACTGTTCCTTACAAGAACTTCCAAAACTTGCTGGAAGGGGTAGGGTGTGCATGTATGGCTTTTTGCTGAAGAGCAATGGGAAGAGACATAGTATCTCAACCTCTAAGAAGCCAAAAGTTGTCCTCACAATTACAGCCAACAGAACTGGATTCCTCAGCAAGGAACTGTTTGAGTATCTTTATGTTTCACTGCTATCTTTGATGAGGTGACATCTAAACATACTCTGAGCACTGGTAAAACCATAAGTTTAGTCCACATCCACTTGGCTCTGAAGTGAAGCCTATGTCACGTGATACAGTTGTCACTTCATTTTAAACCCAACATTTTAGAATGTCACACTTCAGAATAACTCATTATTTCTTTGAAGTGTGCCATATCCATTGAATGTTATATAAAAAGTCCAGCTGGTCATCTGTTCAAGCTTTAGCAATATTTAGCAATAAACAGCATAACAGAAAATAAGTACTGAACAATTATCTATTAATTTGAAAATACAGTATTACAAAGCTATAGGCATTGCCAAAGCTCAGCAGGGCACATCTGATACTTCATCACTTAAGACACACACACAAGAAATCCCCATGCTCATTACAGTTCTAAGAGGATGCTTTATTAGGAGGACAAGATATTGCACAATAAAGGGAAAGCATCAGCTGGACAAGCAGCTGTATGCAAGGAGAAAATCTAAGTCTAAGCTGACATTTCAGCATAAATTTGAGCTCCTTTCAGATTTTCCGATATAAAGAACCCTCTCAACAAAAAAGAACTAAAAGCAACCTAGCCCAGAGGTTCAATTGCTTTGTTCAATTCACAAACGTCTCAAGTAGCCAATGAAATTAATTCTCTTATTTCCTATATTCAGTAATGGCCTTATTTACTTAAGACAAAAAAAACAAAAAAAACAAAATCTTAAGATTCAGACCCTAAGAAGTCAGTAGTTACAATTTTGCTTTAATAGTTATTAAGAATTGCATCTCTTAAACAAACAAAACTCCAGCTTAAAAAATGGAGAAAATGTTTGCATAATGCAAGAAGGAGTTTCACCTGCTTGTTTTTAACACCACAAATCTGTTTTCTGCTCATTCATTCCCCCTCAACCTGTGAGTGTCAGAAGTCCGTTCATTTCTAACTGCTTTATTTCCTCTTTCATGTTTCAAAGCACGAATTTTTATAGAGTTACTAGAGGCCTGCTTTCTTTCACGGACGAGACAGTAAACTTTAAAAATACAAGACTAGGCATGCAGAGTATCACGTAAATTAGTATACCCATGACCAGCTGCTCACTGGTTTAAAACTCAGCTGTACAAACCTAATGGGTAAACAACGCAAAGTTTCTCTGTTAGACCGATTGCTTCCTTTAGTTTTGAAACAGACGATATAGTCTTCAAGGACCATGAGATCAAAACACACAAAACATCTAATCATAGACTGTCTAGCCCTCATGTGCCAGCAAGAGCATTCATACAATTATTATCTGGAGACTAACCTGGATTAAATTTAATTTCTGCCTTTTTTTTTTTTTCCTTCCCCTCTGGGTTACTTTGAACTTGGCTCTGTTTCTCAGATCAATTCACTGCTTGGTTGACACTTGTGCTACCACAGAAAGAAGGCAGTGCTGCTGACTTCTGCCAGCTTAGCTGCTTAAAGAGCCACAGTCTTAAATGTCTAGTGGGACTACTAATTCTAGCAGGGACAGAATGCCACCATGGCAGTTGGACTTGCATTAATCTCTCCAGACTGGCAGCTGAGATGCAATTACAGCAACCACACTGTTGACATCTAGAAGCGAAATCAAGATTTGCTTCATGAAAGACTAAGCCACTAAGCTTGCTCAGTGCAAGCGCAGTTTGGATCCTGTCAAGTGATCGGAATATAAAAGTTTTTGGAAGTGTTCCTCATAAATCCCTGTGTAAGTCTGGAAATTACATAAATTAACAGCCTCTAAACTGTGGCGTTAAAGCTACTGAGTATGGCTTGCATAACTGGTCTCATTTTTGCAGTGTCTTCAATGTAATTAGACACAAATAATTCCATGGTAGTTCACAAGAAACACTGCAAATTGATAGTGGTCTGATACTACCAGAAGTTCAGACACTACTGGTCTAAACCGAGTAGCCAACTAACTTACTTCACACAAGCCAAACAACAAAAAACATCCAAATCCTACAACACATCTGCTGGAAAGGCTGAGGACATAGATATTATGAGGTTACAGCTGTTGTTTTGCAGCAGTAGAGTTAGGCTGGTGTACCTGTTTCTCTTTCCCTACAAAAGAGCAATGAAATTTGTCTCTCTGGTTAACCATTACTTACTACTGCTTTGGAAAAATCAACTTGCAGCAAGGAAACCATCACAATTGTCTATACAGTTGCTCAGCAAAAAACAGAAGACTTTTCAAGAATTTGAAAACTTAACTGCTTATCCAAATGTTTTTCTTCTTCAGTCTAGCTATTGGTATTCACCCCTCAACCAGAAAAAGCAAATAAATCCAAAATGAGTTTCTGAAAGCTTGAACTAAGTAATAAAATAGCACATTCCTAGTTATAAACACAGTGCAATGTAAAATCAGTCTTACAATAAATCTGTCCATAAGTTAACTCTGACAAAAAGTTTTTTTTCCTCAAGCTAAAAGTTGGGATACCAGATCAATACTTAAATTCTTATCATAGATATGAAAACTAAACAAAACAATCCCTGATTATAGATCGAAGTAGAAGGGTGGGGTTTTGTTTGTAAAATCTGCAGATTCTTCTGATTGTCCATCAGGCTTGATGGGACACTGATCAGTACCTCAAACATTCACTACCTGACACTTAACGATAAGTTGTTTTTTTTTTCTCTTGGGCTTAAAAGAGATTCATTGAATCCTTCTATTAGGACATTAAAAACAGCTGCTTGTTTTCAATTCAGAAGAATTCAGAAGAAATTCAGAAGAAAGGAGAATTAAAAGCTCTCTTGTATTGCAAGCAATACATACCATACCAAAAAATTCAACAGGTACAAAGTCTCCTTTTCTAGAAGTTTTCTAAAAATAAGCATTTAACCTAATATAAGCATTTAACCAACAGAAATGCTGTCTCTACTTATTATGATAAGACCAGCTTGCATTAGGTCCAGTGCAGGAAGAAGCCGCAGCTCGGAGCAACTGAGGAGCAATGCACCTCCACAGTTCAACAAGGCTGGCAGGGGACCACAGAGGGAGCCTCGATTTGGACCTCACTGACTTTCCTACAGCAGAGTAAAGCTCCAGGAAATGAAAAATACCCCGGATAAACTAAAACAGTAAGTACATAACCCCTATTTTGCATACAGATAAAAAAAACCTTGGAGAAGCTACTTCCTTCCATCTCATCGCATGAGCCCGCAAGACCTAGCCCCGCCGCGACCCTCCAGTCTCCCCAGGTGGCACGCAAAGGCCGAGAGCCAAGGCAAGGCCGCACCGCGGACCCGCTGCTCTTCCGGCGCGGGGCAGGGGCACCGGGCGGGGTTCTGGGAACCTTCCCGAAGGGACCAGCGATACCTCCCTGACCTACCGCGCTGCCAACAGCACAGGCGAAGGGTATCGCCCTACGCGACGCGCAAGGCACCAGTGAAGTAGGCCGCTGGACACCCCACCGGGACACCGCGCCCAGGCGGAGCGGAAGCGCACGGCCCCGGTGAGCTCCCGAGGGGCCCTACCGGAGGTGGCAACCAGACCGGCCGCCCACCCCGCTCCCTACAAAGCGGCGGGAGACAAGAAGAGGCAGGATCCCCCTCCCCGCTCCCCGGGCGCTCCCCCACAACTTCAGGGCAACTTCTTCCTCCTCCCCCCGCCCGTTTCTTCCCCGCGCGAGCAGCCGCCCGCCGCCCGCCATGGCACCGCCGCTCACCCCCAGATGACATAGTTGGTCTTGACATTCTTGGGCCAGGAGAACTCGCCGAAAATCACCTCGTCCCCCTTCACCACAATTTCTTTCTTCTGCGTGTTGTACTGCCGCAGCACGCTCAGCACGTCCGCCATTTTCGCTCCGCAGCCACCGGCCGCTGCCGCTCCGGCACCTCTACCAGCCGCGCAAAGACCCCTCCGCCAGGACCCAGGCTGCCTACCGTAAACGCCTGAGTAACACCACTACCTCCGCCGCCTCCAGGGGGCGACGCCGAACCGGTTGCCATGGAGGGACGCGACCCCGCCCTCAGGGTGGCACCCGGCTGATTTGGTTAAGGCCCCGCCCGCACCGTTTCTAGTACTGTGGTCCGAACGCGGTTTAGAGTGGTGAGGTTCGGTTGTTACCGCCACGAGCGCAAAGAGAGTCAAAGGCATCGATGGCACAGGCCATTGACAACCGGCCACTCTGCACCCCGGGCCTACACCGGTCCTCCACTGGGCAGCCGGAGCGTAACGGCCGCTGGGCGACGTCGCCCCTCGCGGTCATGGTGCCCCAGCGTGGCAGCATCGTCACGGCCTTAGCGGCTGCGGGTGCACACCTATCCTCGTGAGGGGGATTGCGTGTGGCGCAGGGGATCACGACCGGTTCGTGGCCGCTGGTGTCTTGCAGTTCCAGTACGGGCAGAGTCCACACCGCACCGCCGTGTCGGGCAGGCGCATAAAGCCTTTTCGCCGTCACGTTAGCAGCTGCAGCCCAGGAGCCCGCCTGTACCACCCGCACCCCGGCTAGGCAGCGCTTGGCTGTTGGCACCGGGCCAGTAGCGCCTCGAGACAGTTGGGCAGGAGCTCCCGCAAGAAGGCGGTGTACGCACTTCAGACTGCAGGTCAGAAAGAAAAACACCCCGAACCTGGGTACACAGGGGAGGAAATAAAAAAGGAAAATATCTGCTTTATCAAGCACAAAGGCGCAATTTAATTCTGACAAGAATAAGCCGTTAAAACACCACACAACAAAGTGATTAAGAAAATATTTATCGGCTCTATACCCTCACTGGAAGGACCCGTCAGCCGCTGGGCGTGCCCCGGCCAGCGGCGCCTCAGGACACCGGCAGCCTGCCGGGCAGCCCTACGCCTCTAAGAGGCGGTGCGGGGACCTGCGGGCGGTGACGGACCGCCGTGAGGACTGGGGAGAAGCCCCGCCGCTTCCTCTTGGCGGCCATGGCCCTGCAGGGGGCGGTGCGACGGGTGGTGACGGGGCTGGGGTGCGGGCAGGTCGCGCGGTCCGTCGGTCGGTAGGTGCGATCGGGAGCCGCGGGGCCGGAGGTCTACCCGGCACCTTGGGCTTGGTACGGATCCTGTTTTAAGTCGTTTTGGCCTTTGGACGCTCGCTCTCATAGGAGCAGCCCTCCTGCACCGGAACGGCAGGCACCGGGGCCGCCCGGGCTGTGGCAGCGCGGGGAGGCGGCCGGTATCGGGGCGCGCAGGCCTCGGAGCAGCACGTCTGCCCGCTCTATTGATGAAAATGAGAGTTCCTTTCCGTTAGAGTCGGGTGGTGAGGCTGAGCACAGGCCGGTGCCGGATTTGGTACATGTGTCTGTATTATCACTGGGGGGTGGGGAGGAAAGCATTTTTCTTATCGAGACAGCCGTATTTGTTATTTTTATAGTCTGCACCATCCATCTCTTCATCTTCTTGTAGGCATGTGAGAACTAGCATGGCTGTGGGTACTGCAGCTGCAGAAAAATGACACATATAATGTAGAAATCACATTGACTGTTAAAACAGTATAAAGTCAACCTTTAATTCGTGAAATATAAAAGGTGTCATTTGTTTGAAAGCTCAAGTATCTGACTTTAATTTCTCTTTAGTTTTAGAATGGGGAATGATCAGACTACCGTGGGATTGTCTAATGATGCCGCTGTGAATCAAATACAGGTAACATCATTAATGCAATTCTTTTTTTCAACATTTCTGAAAGCCATAGTTACTTAAAAGCTCTTCTGATTTATATAAAGAAATTCTGTAAATAGTTCTATATGTTCAACCTGATTCTTATGTTTAGTAAGCCTGCTAGCATTATTTATTTATCCACAGCCTTGGAACTTTATCTTCCTAGGCTGCATCCATTTTACATCTTTTGCAGACCTCTACTCGAATTCAGTAGTGCTATCAGTACTGGGGACTAAGTCTCGGAAAATGACTGTCATTAAGTAAAGTTTAAACATCTAAAGAGAAAGTTGTTTTTTAGAGTAAACTTCCTGATAATAAATGAAGGCCTGAAATGACTTTGAATTTACAGTAAAGTAAAAAGGTGTAATTGGTCCGAAGTTCAATCCTTGGACTTCAGCTTAGTTGCCCACTCACCGCAAACCACTGCTCTTCATAGCCAGTTTATAAGAAAATTGCAGGATCACAAATTTAAGAGAAAGAACACTCTGTAGGGCATTAAGTACAATTTCCACAAGGGTGGAAAAAAGAAATATCCCTTTTGTCATTCTGCTTGCCATCAGCACATTCTGCTTGCCTGATGGAAAGGGAAAGCTGTACTAAATAGTTCAAGGAGATACAGCTTGTTTGGCAGATTGTAGGAGGTCTGTGACTGCAGAGCTAAAACGGGCTCAGGATTGGCACCATTGCATGACAATCACAACACATGCGTCTCAATCATTCTTCTCCCTTTCAGGGTCAAGTACAGGTCAGACACAGCTTCACAAGTGCCAGCAGTGCTTCTCATAGCGATTGTTAATGTCAACTCTCCTCTGTTTCTCTGCTCCCACAAGATCATAGCATTCCTGAAAGTCAGAAACTGATGAGTTTTAACTGATTCCTGGTACCCTACTCAAAAGAAAAGAGCATACCTTTAACTGAAAAGCTCAAGTGGAGCAAGAGAAGTCACTTTTATGTTCTGTGTAGCTCTGCAAACTGCTAAAGTTGCATCTCGCTGCTTATTGCACTTGTGCAGACACTTTCTGGGATCTGGCCAAGAGCATCTGAACTTGAGGTTAAAAGCCTGACTTTCTTAGTAGTCGGGTAGGAAGCAATTTTTCTTCTGTTGCAGAAGTATCAGATGCATCCCTAAAGGAGGTGTTAGGCCACCACAGAGGCTTCAAAACAGATGTAGGGTGGATATGTTTTACACTCACCATACAGGTGATGATATCTTAATAGATGCCTTGATAGAGGAAGTTGCTGTTCTGCTCCTTGTTTTTAAAGAGTAATAGTTCATTCCTCACCTTAAGATTCTTGTGGCTCTAGATTAGAATTAGGGGAGATTTAGAAGATTAACTAGCTTTTCACTTTACCTTAAAAAGTGAGTAAAAAATATGTTTTGAAAACAATTCAAAAACAGCCAGCCATTGCTGTAGCATGGCTGGGAACTCCTCAGTTGTCCCTGTCTAAAAATACTTCAGAAGACCTTTTACAGAATAATTGTCCATTATTTGTTACTGTAATAGCAGATTTATAACTTCTACATTTGTTTTCATGACTGCTTGATACTGTTGAAATACACTGACTTAAAAACAAAACACACTGACTTCAACATTCTTTTGAGCATACAGGAGATTATTTCAGACAACTGTGTGGTGATTTTCTCCAAAACAACATGCTCCTACTGCATAATGGCAAAAAAGCTTTTTGAGAGTATAAATGTGAATTATACAGCTGTGGAACTGGACATGAATACAAATGGAAGTCAGATCCAAGACATTCTTGAGCAGATGACTGGTGGCAGAACCGTAAGTATACATTCTTACATGTAACAAACAAAATAAGAACTTACACTGCACTTGTTTCTCATGAGTTATGACCATATCAAGTTCTTTGCTTTTTCAAGACATGTAAACTTGGGATACAAGAGACCCTCACCCTGAGGGTGCCACTTTGAGATATCAAAGTCAGTTTTCATTTGTATAGGTGTATATACGCCTTGTAATTTCTTAATTTTATATAGTCTCACTTGACTCAGTTATTTTAATACAATCTCCCATATACTGACTTTATGCCCCTTTTGAGGGGCATGTGAACAGTTTCCGATCTCTGTAAATATTACAGAAATGTATGAGTTGTACAGTAGTATTAAATATGCATATGTAAGAACTCGACTGTTGTGTGTATACCACAGTCCATGTGGGGTCGCTTAGGTTTTTATCTTTTATTGAAGTAACTAACATCATTTTAATTTTCTTGATAGGTCCCAAGAGTGTTTGTCAATGGGTCTTTTGTTGGAGGTGCTACAGATACTCAAAGACTTCATGAGGAAGGCAAATTGCTGCCTTTAATTCATCAATGTCAGGTGAAAAGTAAAACCCAGTCAGCCACTTAGCTCAGCTTAGTCTTCCTTTGTATAACAGAATTTTAGGCAACTTAGAAGATCATAGATACATGCTACATCAGCTGGAATCAACAGCTTCAAGCCATGGATTTCCAAATCATAGATCATTTTCTGACACAGATGCTTTAGGGACTTGACAAATTACATGCCTCAGCTTTCCTACAACCAAAATGGTGATCAAAACCACTATGTAACTCTGGGGGCTCTACGTGTGACAAAGTGATGTCATTTTATTGCTGTTACAATGCTGATGCCATGTTTCAGAGAAGCATTAATTGTACAAGAGGAATCCTGTTTTTTTTCTGCTGCAAATTAGTTTGCATTCTAGCCTTGTTCCAATGGTCAGTTTAATGGTTCTTTTAAAGTAAATTCTTCTCTGAATGTCAAATTGTAGTAATGATGAAAGTATGAAGCAAAATAAGTTTGTAGTGATACTGTGTATGCATGTCTGCGTCTTCCATATCCATATGATTCCATATCAGCATCTGATCATCTAGCTATGAAATTGTATGTCCAGTTGTGAGAGAAAAGGGAAGAAAGATTCTTGCAGCGTTTGAAGGGTAGGTCATGTCTTTCATCTTTTTTCTGCACTATGAAGTATCAGTCTATACAGTCATTTAGAAATATGACAAAATACAGCTTCTAGGGGAGCCAGACAGCTCACTGTCAATAAACTCTGAAACTACAACTTGCGTTATAATCAATCCAATGCTATTATGAAGCTTAAGACCAAGTAAAATAAGTGTGATATGCGTAGGATTTATTTAGTTCTTGAATTCTACAGTCAGAATGCAGTTTACTAGCGATGTGAACTTGCAGTTAAATGCCTAAAGCATCTAAAATTCAACAGTTTCAGTACAATGCAAATCCAAAGCCAGACCAATGCCAAGACTCTTGGTTATTTCAAGTTCATATACAAGTAGAAAATTATATCCCACTCTTCAGTATAAGGGACCATTACACTACTACAGGGCACAGTTTAG